ACATGTATCCACCATCCTATTGATGAAAGTATATGATGTATTAATGTATATGAGTACGCATATACATTCACACATGTATTATACACGTTGTTTTAATGTATGGTAACATCGATATCCTGAAAGGTTTGACGTTAACACACGAAAACAATATTTTCAAAGCTAAGTATTCTACTTTTGGCACGGCAACTCTCGGAATAGTATACTCTTCTTCACAAAGAACTTGCTGCAAAGTTAAAATAAGACTTGACGCACGACAACTACCAACCACCACCACCACCACCACCACCACCACCACCACTACCACCACAACCACCCAAGCTAGGCTAATCGATCGATCCTGAGAAAGAAGGAAGGATGATCGATCGTTTGTTAAGAACATTTCTAATCGTCACATAAAACCTTCTTTTATTTTATAATATACTATTCTTCTGTTAATTATCTATATACAGGGTGTTTTATTTTTTCTTTTCTTTCTAATTTCCTATGAATAATCTAAAAAATGAAAGAATAAAAGACACTATGATCAATAAATTCAAACTCATCAGTTCTCAGTACAGAGAGGTTGACTTTTCCAAAATATTTGAAAAGTATTTCAAACTTTGGTGTGTGAATCTTCATTAAATTACACCATCGTATCACCTTCTTTTAAATTATTATACTTCTGATAATAATGTGCATATTTCAACTTATCGACGTCAGAACAAAATAAAATATCAAATAAAATAAAAAGGTAGAAAGAAACCCATCTTGAAAAGAAGAATAAGAGAGGAAGGAAGGAAGGAAGAAAAAGACAAGAAGATAGAAAACGACGGCGTTGACACCGTTGGTTGGAATCGAATCGGGTGGAGCACAGCACCGGTGGCAGGTGAATGACGTCATAAGTAGGCTCGTGACGTCAACGACATATAATCGAAACGCTTCTTTTTCTCTTTCTTTTTATTTTTCTTCTTCTTTCTTTCTTTCCTTCCTTCTTTCTTTCAATTCTCAACGCACGTTTCGAAATTCAATATGAAATAAAATAATAATAATAATAATATAATGGGGATTTTTATTTTTTAGTTTTACAGTCTTGACATTGAGTGGATTTAATAAAAAAAAAAAAAAAAAGAAAAAGATGGAGGTGAATACAAATGAAGAGAATGCATTTTTGAATCAGATGCAATTTTGCAATTTTGAGATTATGTTCGTTAAGAAATTAAGATCACGAATAGAAAGAGAGAGAGAGAGAGAGTATTTGTGTATATGTGTATGAGAGAAAGAGAGAGAAAGAGAACGTTTCGCTATTTTTACGAGCCACGGGTGTGACGTCAAAAGAAGGGAGCGAAAATGGCAGTCGAATGTTTGGATTACTTAAGAATCTAGAACGCTCACAAGGAATATTATCGGCTCTCTCTCTCTCTCTCTCTCTCTCTTCGTGAGAGTAGATTAAAAAGAATCTTCACAGATCATTCAACTTTGTGTTAGGGTTGACAAAATAATTACGAAATAATACAATTGTTTAAGAACACGATTTAAATAATTCACATTTTGTCAAAGGAAACTACTATTTGAATAATAAAAAAAAAAAAAAAAAAAAGAAAAATTACAATCACGTTTGATAAATTAATTTTTATTTTATTTTGTTTAAACATTACAGATAAAAAAGAAAAAAAATATCTAAATCAAAGTAAAATACTTGATTGATGCTGCAGTTTAAGTTTCAACAAATTATTTTGTTGATCAAAGATTTTGTAATTCATCCCTTTGGTGGTTGGTGTTACCCTCCTCCCCTCCCTTCCTCCCTCCCTCTCTCCACCCCCCGCCTCACCAAAAAATAAGTAATTCGTGGCGATGAAATTAGAAGAAGATAGAGAAAGAGAAATGGTGGTACAGGACGTGACCCCGTGGGCGGAAGGAGGGCTGCTGGACCGGATGGATAGACGAAGAGCAGTTGGAGGAGATGGAGGTGGAGGTGGAGGGGTGTACTGAAGGGAAGCTACTCTTCTCTATACTATACAACTCGCATACGTTGACCCTTTGCGGTGGTCAAGTAGCGCGACCTACTATTTGTCCTATGAAACGTGTTACTACTACAATTTCTTTTTTTTGTTTTTTAATAATAATTTTTATTATACAAACTTTGAACATTTAACATTAACTTTTAGACCATGTTAATAAATTTCATCAATCTATTTTCTCTTTAATGAAATATTGCTTGAGTAGTTCCATGGTAAATTGGTATTTTTAATGTACACGTTTATACAAATACAAACACACACAAGGTACACATAAGTTTTTGAAAGGATCTAAGTAAAATCACATAACATTAAATAATAAAAAAAGATAAAATGATAAAATTGTTTTATCTATATCTTTTTTTTGTTTCATTTAGTTTTCATTGGTTGCAATGATTTTAAATGAATCAATCGATGAAATCAAAGATTGAATATTATGCAATTGTAGATTAAGTTCACATGCATGGTAAGTTGTTAAATATGATTTCAAACACTGGTCTAAATGATGGATGAATTTTTAAATAAAAAAAAAAGTTGTTTTCTTGAATTTGTTTCATCATTCTTCAAAGAGACACACACATGACAATGTCAGTCAGTCGTTAGTATGATACTAGACAACAATAACACTACGAATTTCGAAGCAATTAAAGTCGATTAAGACAACTGCACCGGTCAATTGTGAAGATGAACCAATGACCAATGAGAATGTCGAGTACTATATAACTGTTTCTTTTATTCCTTTTATTGTTTTTTTTTTTTATATTTTCATACTCGACATTATTTTTCCAAAGTAAATCAAAGGTACCTTTTTTTTTAATACCACATTTTATTGATAATATTATAAATAAATAATCATGTTTCAAAGGTTAATGCACATTTGAATTACTTATATTAAGCTTACACCATTTTGGTATTATTTAAAATCTTATTTTGATTACTTCTACTCACGTTAGAAAATTATTGAATATTATTATGTGTGTATGTGTGTAATCAACGTGCAGGTGAAAGAGAGTATGGTCGACGATAGTGAAAGGAGAGAAATTGATCGAGAAATGAGCCATTATTTTGGATGAAAATAACGTTTAACCTACTAATGAGAAAGTTAACTGAGCATTATTTAAAAAGTGAATCTAACGAAAGTTGTTGTTTTTTTTTTTTTATTTCATTTCCATTGGTTGGAATATTTCCTTAACTTATCTTCTCATTCTTCTTCTTCTTATTATTATTATTATTGTATGTTTTGTTTGAATTCTCATTTCTTTGAACAGATACAAAGTCGAGATGTTATACCAACTAAAAGTGAGTTTGTTTTCACGCGAGTCTCATCTCTCGGTGTATATGCTAGATGGTATTATGCAAGTCCCCGTTACTCTAATTGCGTGTAGCGAGAGATAACCACGAGCCGAGCCGAAGCCTCGTTAAATAAACGTCACAGGCATTGCACTGCAAGTGAAAAAAATTTTCCAGATCGCTTAGAACGGAATAAACAATTGCATTTGCATTTTGCTTTCCCTCTTCTTCATCTAAAAATAAAAATACTGCAAATCTTTGCACTAATGTTTGCCAAATAATACAAACAATATTATTTATTTAAATTTGCCAATAATTCTATTACCATTTTTGTTTACTATCTTAATTATTATTTGATTAAAATGAATATTTATTTATTTAACTTGCACTATCCAAATTCTTGCAGTTGGTGTTGTTGTAATAGATTGAATCATCTACAAAATCTTGAGCAAATGTCGTCAATTTTTTTGAAAGAATTGGGAAAAGAGAAAGAGTCATTTTAAACTCAATTTTAAAAGTTAAATGTCCTTAATCGAGTACTGGAATATCGCGGTTGATCTGTGTCGTTCCACCGGTGCTTGGAATTAACAGACATTAGATTGAGTAACGTTCGTGACGCAGGTCACGTGTTAATTTTCCAGAATTACGAATAGTAGGCGGAGGACAATGTCGTTGTAACTAGTGAAATAATCGTTTATCTAAAAAGTCCGAATTTGTTAAGACACATGAAAACACTTATAACTTAAATGATAATAAAATAATCCTTTAATTAGTTTCAAGATTCGTCAGATGTATCAGGTATACGCAGTATGATGAATTTGTTTGAGAACCATCTCTACGAATTGATAAGAAAAATATTCATATGTAACAATATACATCACAGAATAATTGGTTGAGTCTTCGAAGACTAAAATCATGTTGACAAATGCACTTATCGATAAGAAACAACTGTGCAATCATAAACTTTGGTTATTCTATGACAACGAAGTAGAAAAATTAGTTAAGAAAATAGTACTGGTAATCATCATCGGTACAAATATTGTCTATGCACTGTGTTTGCATTTTTTGCGATAACAGAAGAACAGAATATCAATGCAAAAGATGCTAAGATGAAAAGTCACTGTCTATGTTAACATTAGTTCAAACATCTTTCATTATTCGATACTAACTTCTTTTCCATGGATGTGTTCAGTTTGATGGAAGATAAATTTCATCGAAGTAACATTGTATGAGTAACATTCAAATGTATACGTTAAGCAAGCAATGACATAATATTTGTATAACGTAGATGACATTTTTTTTATATAACTTATATCACATTTAATTACATTCAAGTATGAATAAGGAATAATGAATTTCATAGAAATGTTTTACATATGATACACAAGTTTTAAGTGATCACAAATAATTGAATGATGGAACCTTGAGGAAACTTGTTAATGTAAAACTGTAATATTTTCTATGTAGTATAAAAACTACATCAAAGTGGAACCTGGAATGAAAGCAGGAAGAAGCTCGTTATCGCAGTACCGGTTAGTACTGACTCATACCAAAAAGTCGACGATACAAAGTTTGATATAACCTAAGAAAAAATATGAGTAAAAAAAAAATGTACAAAGAAAACACAAAAATGAGAAAAACAGGAAGACAAGAAAAAGATAAAAAAAAAAAAAAAAACAATATAACACGAACGTTAGAAGAAAATAGAGAACTAACCGTAAAGGAGGATCGATAAACTCGAATACTTTTCGATATTTAAGAATGGAGTATAAATTTTGACAGTCGAGGCCTAGGCAGCGGCCATATTGGCTACCGACGTTGTGCCGCTCGTTGTAAAGCAAACTGAAAATGCCGTTTGAAAATTGACAAAAGGAGGAAAATAAAGACGATTGTACATAGTTGAGAGATTAATTAAGTTAATTATTCGATGGATCGATAATTAAACGTACCTGGAGCTCCCTGACGGAGCTTCGAAGACGATCGAATTCCCGGCTCGTCGTCGGTGCGTTGGCCTCTCTGTCCCACCTACAGAGTTCCCTTGCTTCTCTCTCTCTCTCTCTTCTCTTCTCTCTTCCTTCTCCCTCTCTCTCCAATCTATTCTCTCTTTCTCTTTCTCACGTAACGGCGAGGAGGTGCCTCGAGGGGATTCGTCGTGTCGCTTCGACTTTCCTCACATCGATTACTACGCACTTTCCTTACTTCTTTTTCTTTTTATTATTTCTTTCTTTCTTTCTTTCTTCTTCTTCTTCACAACGAATTACACGATCATCGACAGTTGTACAAATGTATTATGTATATTATTATAACTATGTAAAATGTATGATGTATGTATGTATGTGTCTGTGCGTAACGCGAATACTTTTTAACGAGGGAGCACAAGGAATGAAAAACAACGTACTTATTTAAAGAATCGACGATTTAATGACACTTTAACGTCGCCGTCACGAATCGAATCGATTAACAACAACACCGCAGAGAAATGGATTTACATTGAAACATTAAAACTCTCTCTCTCTCTCTCTTTCTCGGCTTGTCTCACTAAACTCCTTATTCTTAAACTTTATTTATATTTATTATTTTTTACTTTTTTTTCAGGTTATAAAAACTCGAGGCGTCCACGCGAGAAGAGAATGACTCGGTGCGAGAGAGACAATGATGGGCCGTGCCGAGAACCCGAACGTTCCCGACTACTACCACGAAACGAAGCGAAACGAGACGAAACGAAACGATGATCAGCGAGTAGGCGCGCGCGCGCTTCACTCACTCTTTCTCTCTCTCTCTCTCTCTCTCTCTCTCTCTCTATCTATCTATCTCTCTATTTCCCTTTTTTTATTTGTATCTCTTTTACTCTTTCTTTCCTTCTTTTCTTTTTATCTATCTCTCTCTTTCTCTCTTACTCCAATTACATATGCACAAATATTCACGCACGAATAATGCACGAACTATCTACGAACTACGAACGAATATGCGGAACGAACGGAACGACGAACCAACCAACCGACCAAACGAACGGTTTTACGTAGTAGAATACACGAATACACACTTACTAATAAAAACACGTACAGAGGTAGGGCACGCGACACGATAGATCGTTTTCAAAAGGGCGAGCAGCGCGGCGCACGGGCGTCAACGATCGTTTTCATCCCAGGACGAGGAGGAGGAGGAGTAGGAACGACGTCGGCGACTCTCTGCCTTTTTGCGGAACCAATGGAAACTGCTGGTATTACTAGTGCTGGTGCTGCTGCTGCCTACTGCTGTTACCTTTTCTTCTTTTAGTCGATCACCCGGCGAGTAGTAGGGCGGGGTTGGTTCTGTTCCTAGACTGTCCTTTAATTCCAAATCCGCCGGTTCCCGAAGATACCCGAACTTTACCGTGGCGCACTTCATGTCAGTTGTGTATGCACCTGCTGCCATCTTTCAATGATAGCTATTTCAATTTGTTATTATTTGCTATTTCTTTATTTTTCACTTTCCGGTAAATATTATTATTTATTTATTTTAAATTTGTTCTTATTAATTATTCTTAATTAATTTGTTTTTAATTTTATTATCGTATCGAGTAATTTTGAATATTTATCGACAGTACAGTCTCGGAAAAAAACTAACTGTTGGTAACAATTAATCGATATAGGATATTACAGAATATCAAGGTGGCGCCACTAGTGAGTGCAGTAATGGCGGGATACCTTAACTTGATTTGTGTTTCTTAAAATATCGATTAGAGAAATTCAACGAAACAAAAGAAACTTGAAGAAATATTTAAACTCGTCCATTAAATCGATTTTACAACAACGATATATTGTTTCTACCAGGTAATAATCATCGTGCGTTCTACGAACAGAAAATTATAGAGAAGTAATGAACGAAAACAAATACAATTCTAATCTATTACAGTTAAATAAATAATAATAAAGAATAATTCATTTCTATATAGAAAAATGTTGGAAAATATCGTGGAATGTTATTGTACGTTATTTATAAAAGTATCCTCTGGAATAAGAAGAGAAATAAAAGCACACCAAAGTTTGGCCAAAAGAAGAGTTGTTGAGAAGAGAGAAGTAAGTATGTAAAGAGAGAGAGAGAGAGAGAGAGAGAGAGAGAGAGAGAGAGAGAGAAGTAGAGTCTTATCAATATTATCAGTGGCAGGTTGGAGGGAGGTGTGGTATCGGGGCAGTATAATCGGATGCGAATATGTTTTAGGTGGGGGATGGAAAGGAGGGCGCAGGCGCTATGTACGAC